TTTTTTTTTTTTTTTGCATGTATACCGCAAAACATTTGTGACTTACCTACTGAAACATTGTAATAACAAGGATTAATGTGTATCACGAATAGACTCTGTTTTATTACATTTCGTATATTTTGGGATCTTAATCTTTTTGTACAACAACACTTATCATTTGCCAAAACAAACTTAATTCCTGATGATCCAAAGAACATCGCCCACCTTCCAAAGATGGTATAAGTTTACAGGCACATATATTAGTTAGTTTCTTTTTGTTTTGTGTGTGAGTTTGAGTGTGTGTGTGTGCTTGCATGACTTACAATCTCCTTCGGTTTTGTTTGGGTAATCTTATATTAAGATATGCACTTGTACTTATATGCATTTATGTTATCTATAATTCTTTACCAATATGTGATGAAATTCACTTTCCCAGTGTGCACACTATATTTTCTCATAACATTTGTAAAATATGAATTATTCTGCAGGTACTAAAGCGAAAAGGTAATAAATTCATTGAATCCGATGAAGACACGTGGACGCCTCCAAGGAGAACCTCACGCAGACGCCAGCTCACAATTGCGTACGATCCTGATGACGAATGATAAAATGTGAGTTAATTTCTTAGTAATTTTTTATTATTATTATTTGAAGTTCATATTATCTGACATTATATTGTGCAATCACTATAATCGGCATAATCATTAATGAAGAAGATGCTAGAGAGAGAGAGAGAGAGAGAGAGAGAGAGAGAGAGGTTTATAACTGTCCAAGTTCTTTCTGGTCCATCTTTACCAAATATTTGAACTTTTTCTTCCCCATTTCTAATGACAGTAGGTGTTTCTGTAAGATCTATCTAGAATTTTGTGTTTGATCACTTCTTTTGCATCAAGGTTCATTTATTCGTTATGAAGCTGCAACATAGCAAGACTTGTTGCATATGCATTTTCAATCCTGGGACCAAAACAAATTTAATTAATAAGGTCCTTTCACATGTAATCTCAACCATCAAGAACTGTATGTTGATTAATTATAATCAGAGTAAGGGAATTGTTCTACAAAAAGTGGCATCCGAGTTGGGATGAAACTGACAAGATAGGTTCAACTGGATAACAATCTTTGTCTTCTAAAGCATGTTTGATGTTTAAGGATATCCGAACATACAAGAAATCATCTTTGTATATATATGATGGATGTTTTGTTGTGGTAATTCTTTTGGATCACAAATGCTAGTGTTTGTTAAAGGAATAATTTGAGTGAATTAACTCAAAGTGAGTTTTTTTTAGTTATCTTGGGTTAATTTAGAAAAAAGTGGTGTAGTTAGTTGTTAGTGGGATTTTGAGTTTATATTAAAATAATATTTAAAATAAAATAATTAAAATTGGTTTGATGTAAAAGAAGGAGAGAGATGATATGAAATGAAGGTTAGTTAAAATTATGTAAGTGGTGAATAGTGAATTAAAGTTGATGTGATGTGTAAAAATGATTGGTTATTATTATTTAATTCTATTGACAATATTGAGGTGGAGTCGAGTTAAAGTTGAGTTAGATTTTGAGTAGAATTAATTTGGTTCGAGTTTTTCCTTTAACAAACACACCTAAGAATCTGTCTACTCTTAACTCTACATTTATCGTTGTCTAGTCGTTCATATGACTATATTTAGTGCTGCTAGATAGCCAGTGGACTTGGCGAACCTTTTGACTGATTAAAACTTGACAAATCTGTATTTTGCTCTTTGATTTCATGATATGCAGAGGGCCTTGTTTTTGTGATGAACCAAGGATATTGCAATTTCATATATCTGAGTTCATATGGAAAAATTCGATCCTACTGCCATCTGGTGTGTGTTGATCAAACGGTAAACTGCTCTCACCGGTAATTGAATTTGCATTCATATGGATGATTTTTCAGCATCTTTAAGTTGGTTTTATCTCTTTTGTGTATCCAGATGGATTATATGTTTATGCTGCTTTGTGCAATTAACCTTTTGTAATTTTTTCACTTTTTGTTAACCATTTTGGAGTTAAACTCACCTTCAAATTATGCTTGGATATAAGAATTTTTGCTCTTGTTTGGATTTTTTGGTTTGGTATGGTTAATTTTTAAAATTGTGATATTATTAGTTGTTAGTGTCAAATCCATTTAAAGATCCAAATCCAAGTTCACGAAGAGAAAAATTAAATGAGACATATAAAGATTGTATCCGCAAAATGTTTGATCGAAACACAATCAAGTTGTACAAAAGTTTTATGATTTTCATAAAATTTATTATTACTACAGTCCGACCAACTCCTTGAACCTTCTCGGTTACTCTATTCACAAGAACCCCACGTTCGATTGGTATGAAATTTTTCGAAGCCTCACAATTTTGCTTTCGGCCTTAAACCCAAAAAGCCTTGTACTGATGCAGATCTGTTCACGTTTATAAATTCATTTACACCCTAGATATATCTCAAGTCCATTACCTTTTTTATTCATACTTAAAATTTATCTCAACTTTAAATTTACCCCACTACCATCAATATTAATTATGTATTATCCCGTCGGGTGTTTTAACCGTTTGATACGCATGTTGTTAGTATAAGATAGATGATCCAACGGTGGAAACACCCGACGGAATGGTACCATAACGGGATCATGGCATTTCCCATAATTAAATAGTACCAAACAATAATTCTTACACATCACATAAACTTTAATTCATTATTAATCAATTCACATAATATCAACTAATCATCACTTCAAATTAATCATCACTTCCTACTTTTAATCAAATTAATTTTAATTATTTTATTTTAAATATCATAATAAATTCAAATAACACTAACAACTAATTATTCCAACTTTTTAAAAATTAACTCTGAATAACAAAAAAAAAAATTATATTGAGCGAATATATTTGTATTCGAACACACCCTAATTCCTCGATATATTTAATTATAGTGAAATTTAAACTGGCCAATGGAATAAATGAAAATATAATCTAAATTTCATTCACTTCCGCCAATCATTATTATTATTAGGTGCCGAATTTCAGGAACTACAAAGATGGATATTTCATCCTACCGTTAACCCTACCTAACACTCATCTAAACAACAAAAACAAAAACAATGGTCTATTTTTTATTTGAGTTAGGTATCTTTTTTCTCTTTCTACCAATTAAGCCAGTTTTTAAGTCATGTCATGTAGGACATTTTTTTTTCCATTACTATTATCTTAAATATTTTTAAATTATATTGGTGAGATTTTTTGAGGTATGCTTTTAACAAATTATTGCGCTTTTTTTTTTCATTTTCATATTATTTTTTTCTTGAGAGACTAATTAATCTTGCTTAAGAACATTTACATAAACAAAAGTTCTACCATACAAGTGTGTGCATTTATCACTATTATGTCAATAGCCTACGTTCTAAAAGTCGGCCTAGGCGACCGCCTCCGATTTGCATAAATTGGCAGAAAAAATCGGTCAGGCAACTAAGCGGTGCCTAGGCGGGCTCAGGCGGACCTAGGGGCGCTCCTAGGTAGGCTTGGCGGCGAGGCGGCACCTAAGCGTCACCTAGGCGCTCCTAAGCGGGCTCGACGGAAGTTTTTTAATTTTTTTTTTTAATTTTTTAAATACTAATTATATTATTTTGTTATCATGTTTTCTTTATAATATATTAATATTATTATTTGGACTTGAGTGTGTTGATTTATTATAAGTTGAGATAGTTTTATTTTATAGGTAGTAAAAATAAATAAAAAATAAGGTACTTAATCTTGATTTATAGGCCCCGTCACACTAGGCACTGGTCGGGGCGCGTAATGTGTATTGATCTAACAATTAAAATTCAAACATACTTTTTGTTTTTCACACTTTTGTGTCACACTCGCACGTACATACACATAGCAAAACCGGTATCATAAATACCATTAACCCTACCTAACACTGGTTATAAACGACAAAAACAATTGTCACTTTCGATTTTAATGAGGTGTTTTTCTATTCTAGCACTAAGTATTGCCAGTAAGATTACCAAAGAATACAACAACGTTGGAGGCAATGTCATGTCATATCATATATATATATATATTTTTTTAAATTAAATTTATATAGAGGTTTTTTGAGGTATGCTTTTAACAAATCATTGCTTTTTTTTTTTCACTATTATGTCACATAGCATACACATATATATAATCATTGGGGTGTGTATTGATCCCACAATTCAAACTCAACCGTACAGTTGTGTTATTCACCATTGTATCTAGTGTTGTTATATTAAACGAGTTTGACTCGGCTCGACTCAGTTCGAGCTCGGCTCGAGTTTGAGGCCTTAACGAGCCGAGCTCGAGCTCATTTAAAGCTCGATTGGTTAACGAGTCGAACTCGGCTCGACTCGATAAGACTCGAAAATAGAATTTTTATATAAACTTTTATAGTTCGGCTCGTTAAATTTTGAGATCGGCTCGTTAAGACCTCGAACTCGGTTCGGCTTGTTTACAGCTCATTTTTTATAGCTCATTTATTTGTCGAGCCGAGTTCGAGCACCTTAAACTCGAGCTCGGTTCGGCTTGTTTGCAGCTCATTTTTTATAGCTCATTTATTTAACGAGCCGAGTTCGAGCACCTTAAACTCGAGCTCGGTTCGACTTGTTTACAACTCTAATTGTATCACACACCACATGAATATGTGTGTTGATCTGGCGGCAAAAATTACTACCCTTATACAAATACACCAAATTTTCCCTAAGAATCTACAGTATGTATTAAGGTACTAGCATCGCCATCTAAAATTAGCTTAGGAATGTTAAGGCAAGTAGCTGAAAATTATACAAGAATAATATACACTACAAGAAAATGATGAAATTCCAACGGAAATATATTTCAATAGAATTATTCCAACGACAATTCCAATAGATATTTCAATGCTATTATTTCTGTTGAAATTTTTCAATGGTTCCAACGGAAATTCCATCAAAAATATTCCTTTGGAATTGGTTTTCCACTGGAATTTCTGTTGGATTTTGACGATTCCAACAGTGGATTTTCCAACGTGGGTGGAAATAAATTTTCCAACGGAAAAATTTCTACGGTAAAAAACCGTTGGAAATATAGTCATTAGAATCATTAAATTCCATTTAAAATTTTAGTGAAAAACGCATTCCTACGGAATATTTCGTTGGGATTTCCGTTTGAATCATTCCAACAGAAGCTGTACCATTGGAATACCTGTTGGAATTTTTTTTGCAATATCTTACTATAGGATTTTCCGTTAGAATATAACATTTTTTTTTTTTTGTAGTGATAGTAAATAAATAAAACTGGTTAATGTTGCTTAAAGCTACTAATAATTGCCTATTTGAATAGAGTCCAACTATGTTTGCAAACATGTATACTATTAATTTATTATAGGCTAATTTACTAAAACATTAAGACATATTGATGCATTAAATATGCCTTAGTTTGCGAATTTTGAATGTAAATTTGGTTTGACATTAATTCATAAGTAACTATGTATAAAAACAATTTTTCATATAATAAAGAATTGTAAATTTAGTTGCGTTACAAATCAGTAATTAATCTATATCTATATATATTAAAAGAAATTGATGGAATAATTTAAAATAGTAACTTTTATAATCAACAATTAAACTTTTAGTATCCTTAATTATAAATAGGAACACTAAATGACTATTGTTTTATAACGAGTGAAATAAATATACAATTCATATATTAAATTATTATATATCATAAAACAAAAGAAAAATATAATATCAATATTCAAAAATATTTATATACTAATCAATATCGCTTCCTTATTTCAATACGTACAATTTATAATTATTGACCCGTTCATCGCTCGGGCAAACCCAGCTATGTACTACTTATTTATTAATTAGCTAATTGAATAACACCAAACAAAGAAAGTCACGCACAGAGCATGCTGCGAAATCACAACAGCCAGAAACAGAAATTCCATTAAATTTCCGGCCGCCATGTCGACGGCGACCCTGACCCTCATCTTCCTCACCTCCCTAATCTCCGTCTCCCTCTACACCGCCCTACGTCGGCGCAGGCGGCCCCACCCGCCGCTGCCGCCGGGGCCAAGGCCGTGGCCGATCCTCGGGAACCTCCCGCAAATCGGGCCAAAGCCCCACCAGTCGATGGCGGCGCTGGCCCGAGTGTACGGCCCGATCCTCCACCTCCGGATGGGGTTCGTGCACGTGGTGGTGGCGGCCTCGGCCCGGGCTGCGGAGCAGTTCCTCCGGGCCCACGACGCAAACTTCTCTAGCCGGCCGCCGAACTCCGGGGCCAAGCACGTGGCCTACAATTACCAGGACATGGTGTTCGGGCCGTACGGGCCGCGGTGGAGGCTGATGAGAAAGATCTCAGCGCTACACCTGTTCTCGGGCCGGGCCCTGGACGATTTCCGCCACGTCAGAGAGGTTAATTAGCTGTATATTATAGATACATATATATATATATACACGTATAGTTCACAATATCGTACGTATTATGATATAAAATTTAATTGATAAATATTTATGAAGGCATTTTCTTGAAATTCAGGCTTAAGTTTGTTTGTTTGTTTTCTTATTTTTATTTTTTAAGTAACTCTTGGATTTTTAGCTAGATCAAGTGTCTATTTTCTTTAAAATAATCAATTAAAACTTAAATTTAAATCAAATTTAAATCAAATTTAATCATCATTATTCTTCATATTGTTAATATAATTAAATAATTTCAATAAATTATTTTTATACATCATATCAATTTTAATTCTATATTCATTCAGTCACATAATTTTAACTAACCATCAATTTTAATTTTTTTTTTCTCTTACTTTTACGTCAAATCAATTTTATTTAAATATTATTTTAATATACTACTAATAATTAATTATACCACTTTTCTTTATAATTAAATATAATTAATAAAAAATAATTAAAAATTATATTAATCCATATCCAATTCCGAGTCATATATTTTTTTTATTTGTGGACCATATTGCCTCGATCGGGACAACCGTGAAGCAGTACTGGATTAAGAAGAATAAATGTTTATTGGCTTTTACGTACTGCCACTAAAGTTTTATAAGCTTGAAAAGGGAAGGGAAGAGGGATATTGAAACGATATCAAATTAACGTGCGTTGTGTTGTCCAAATCCAATAAAAATACTGTCCTTTGGGCCGGGCCCCGGGCCCCCGAGTAGAGTCTAGCAACTTTTGAAAATGACTATTGAAAATTGAAAGCTCCTACAATAATGGAAAAATTGTTGTTGGCCTTAAATTTTTCTATAAAAAATTCGGACCGATTTGTTCACATCATTAATTACTTTGAAACTATTTAGAACTTGAAAGCACATCTATGATGGCAAATTCTTGTTTGCCTTTCCCGTTATAGGGCCAAGTACGGGTTGGCGTGAGTCGGTACGGTTCGGAGATTGATAAATTTCTAGAACTGTACCAAACTTCGGAGATCCCAAAAAGTAGATCTCTGGAACCGTACCACAAAATTGGTTGGTTCGGTTTGATTCGAAGATTTTTATTTTTCGGTTCGGTATTCGGGATTATTGAAACGGTTCGGTTCAGTATGGTTTGGTACAGATTTTCGGAGATTTTTTATTTTTTAAATTATTTTTGAATGACTACCTAGTTATATTTTAATTTTTATATGCTTTAAAAAAAACATTCATCAATAATTCATCATATTGAAGATTTTTTTAAATCAATTCTATAATTTACTCTAAATTTTATTCATTTAATTTTTATATGCTTTAATAAAACCAACATTCATCAGTACTTCCTCACATTAAAGATTTTATTTTGAAATTAACTTTATAAATAACTCTAAATTTTAGTTATAACTAAATTTGTGCAACTAATATAAAAAATTTAAAATAAAAAAAAATATAATATTTTTTTCTTAAAAAATATTATTTAAACTTTCATATTATTTTAAATAATTATTCTATAATAGAAAAAAAAAATCAATTGTAGATCAAATATTACTAAGCATGATTTAAGTGAAGGTTAATATTTATTACTATATTATATAGAATCAAAGTTGACATAAAATATAATTAATAACACATCTAATGTTATAATTCGGTTCTTAATTTCGGTTCTTCGGTTCGGTACAGTACGGGATGGTTCGGTTCGGTTCTCGGTACGGATATTTGTGAAATCTCAAAAACTGTACCAATTATTTTTTCGGTTTGGTTCGGTTTGGAGAAAGTCAAACAGTCAACGGTTATTTTTCGGTTCAGAGTGGTTTCGGTTCGGTTTTTTGAACGGTTCGAAATTCTCCGAGTCTCGTGCTCAGCTCTAGGCCCAACATAAGGAGATGCTACGGTCCCGTTACGGAACCAATCGGTCAGGATTTGTAGCCATTAGATCAATTATCCTCGACGGTTATATGATGATCTGACGATTAAAAACCATGATGAAATAGTTCGTAACGTGGCTGTAGCATTGCTCATGTATTTATGGGTGTTTGAATACTGTGTGCCATATAATTTGTTCACGTCTAGACTCTACTGCCATATAGCCACCGGTCAATCCAATATTTGGAACATATAATTTGCTTGAATATATAACCGCTCAAAATAAGTTTTTTCGATTAAGTAGAAGTAATTTTGAAAAATATGGTATGATTAGATGTTAGTGAGATTTTGAATTTATATTAAAATAATATTTCAAATAATATAATTAAAATTGATATGATGTAAAAGTAGAAGAGAGATGTGCGAAATGATTGTTAGTTAAAAAAATTATGTGTGGATGAATATTGAATTACTGTTGATATGTGTGTAAGAATGATTGGTTGATATTGTTTAGTTATATATATTTATAACATTGAGGATAGTTAAGTTGAGTAAAAGTTGAGTTAGATTTGTATTACAAATTGTATATGTAATGAAATATTTTGTAAACAAACACACTCTTAATTGTAATTTTGTGTAGGATTTTATATAGGTATAATCTTTTTGCTATGATAACCCTTTGACATTGTTATCTTAATTTATTTTACTCATTTATTAATAATTAATATTCTAGGAAGAGGTGGGGATTCTGGTTCGAGATCTGCTAAATGCTGGGCCAAAACAACCCCCTGCGCGCTTGGGTCAGATTCTATATGTTTGTGCCACGAATGCACTTGCACGTGCGACACTCGGGAGGCGAGTGTTTGGTGGTGTTGATGAGAAGTCAGAGGAGTTCAAGGGTATGGTGGTAGAGCTCATGGTTCTATCAGGCGTGTTGAACATAGGCGATTTTATTCCCGTGCTCGAGGGTTTCGACCTGCAGGGCGTGGTCTCCAAGATGAAGAAGCTACACAAGAGGTTCGACACATTTTTAAGCAATGTGATAGAGGAGCGCAGGGCCGAAGGCCCACATGGAGCCGTGAAGCAACACATGGACTTATTGGGGGCGTTGATCTCGATGAAAGATGCCGATGACGACGGCGAGAAAGGAGGACTCACTGAGATCGAGATCAAAGCCCTACTTTTGGTAAGTGACCTCTCAATAATTTATGAAATAATTAATAGTATTATCTCTTCTTTTATTTAATTTTTTTTTATGTGTGTTGATAAAAAAAAAAAAAATTACTTAAATACACTCAAAATAGAGATTATAGGGGTGGCGGGTGGGAATAGCGTCCTTTTTTTTTGTATAGGGACCTTCCGGTTTTAGGATCCACAGGGGAACCGATTAATACAGAGCCGGGTAGGACCACAGGGGAATAACGTCCTTAATATATGATTTAGTAGAGTAGATAGTTAATTTATATTTAATGATTACTGTTTTAATGTATCTTAGTTTTTCTATTAACCTTTTCTATTTTTTGTAAAATGAACAAGTTAGTTAGACCATGTTGTTTTTTCTTATTTGAAGTTATAAAATTACACCAAAAAATATTTACTAAATAAATAATAATATTCAGACAATATTTCGATAAATATAATAAACATTTCAATTTAAAAAAAAAAAAAACATTGGAATTTCATACTGAAATGTGAATTAAAATGTGAAAGAATGATGTTGAAATAAAATAAATAAATAAAAATAAGTGAGAATAATAAAATCACTGTGCTAGATATAAATAGGCCAGCGGTACATGGAGCACGTTCTTCTTATGTTTCCGTTTGGGTAGGTAGAGAAATTAATGCCCTTTAAGGTAGGTTAAAATTGGAGTTAAGTGCAATTAAATAAATAGTGGTCCCCAAATTGTGAGGAGCCCAAAACTTTGGTTATTTTGTGTACTAGTACCTTATTTTGTTTAATTTTGGTCTGTGGGCATCAATCTCAGGAAATATAATAGGGACAAACCCCCATAAATTATCAATATTGCAATCTTTGCCTTGTTACTAATATTAGTAGTCAAAAAATGAGTGGTCTTTACAAAATGGTTCCCTTCTTACTAACAATAGTAGTAGAAATTGAAATGTTTATATTTCATACTCCCTCGTATTCATAATAATTGTCGTTTTGGAAAGTTGCACAATTATTAAGAATATATTTTTTTGACAATAATAACCCTCATTAATGATGATAGAGATGAATGTTTTGAGAAAAAATAAAGAATGAATATAAAAAGACGTAGTGTATTTATTAGCTAGATGAGGGTAATAATGGAAAAATATGTATAAAATATCCAAAACGACATTTATTTTGTTAATAGTTGATAATGCCAAAATGACATTTAAAAAGAATAGGAGGTAGTATATATTTTGATGATCACTTTTTAATTTGTATTCAATTTGCAATCTTAGAAAAAAGTGATGGATTTCAAAGTCTTGAAATGTTAATTCTTGCAGAACATGTTCGTCGCCGGGACGGACACAACGTCGAGCACGGTTGAGTGGGCTGTAGCCGAGCTCCTCCGGCACCCTGAAATCCTCGCCCAGGCGCAACAGGAGCTCGACTCGGTCGTCGGCAAGAACCGGCTCGTGTCTGAGTCCGATCTGAGCCAACTAACGTATCTCCAAGCCGTCGTCAAGGAAAACTTTCGCCTCCACCCCTCCACCCCACTCTCCCTCCCGCGCATTGCGCACAACAGTTGCGTAGTCAACGGCTACTTCATCCCTAAGGGCTCGACCCTCTTGGTCAATGTTTGGGCTATAGCTCGCGACCCGGACACTTGGCCCGACCCGCTCGAGTTTAGGCCCGAGCGGTTCCTCCCTGGCGGGGAGGGAGCTGGGGTCGACGTTCGGGGGAATGATTTCGAGGTGATCCCGTTTGGGTCGGGCCGAAGGATTTGTGCGGGTGTGAGTCTTGCCATGCGGATGGTCCAGTTGCTGATAGCGAGTTTGGTTCACGGGTTCGATTTCGAGCTGGCTGGCGGGCAGTCGGCCCAGACGCTGAACATGGAGGAGGCGTATGGGCTGACGTTGCAGCGGGCCGAGCCCTTGATGGTGCACGCGAGGCCCAGACTGGAGACTCATGCATATGGTGGGGGGCTTGATTCTTGAGTGTGGTTTTACACGTTGAATTTGTGATTAATTGTTGGATGTTGATGATGATTATGTGGATGTTGCATGTTTATCGGGATATTTATGTGATGTAATAAATGTTGTGTCTCAATTTTATTCAGATTCCAATTTATTAAGTACTACTTGGAACTGCGCACAACACAACCAAGTTCAATTTTCACGATAATTATTGGTGAAAAAAAGAGAAAAAATAGGGGAAATGTTATAGTTTCATTCTGTCAAGATTTGTAACCATTAGATCATCATGTATTCGTCGTGAAATTATAAATCTCCACAAAATGATTCCACAAATTTTCCAATAAAGAGAGGTCAGGGAAAAAATTTATTTATAGAAAATATTTTAATTTTGTTTTATTATATAGTTTTCACATTTTCACCTATTCATTTAATCAAACAAATAGTCATGTCCTAATAGGCTAAATTGCAATTTTTATCATGTTGGTTTGATCCAGTGACGTTTTTAATTCTAAAAATTAAACATTTTTGTTGTTCGGTTCTATGATTTTAAAATTCAATGCAATTTTAGTCCTTTAGGACTGAAAATACAACAAAACTTAAAATTACATGACTTAAGTTGCTTATAAAAAATCTTTTGAATGAATTTTTTTATTAGCAATTTATGTTCT